TATGCCAAAGCCATATGCAACAGTGGTGTGATTTTAATAGTCCCATGAAGCACAGTATATGAAGACCATTAAAAATCTTTCTATATTCCTCCTCATTTAAGTTGTAAAATAGTCCAAGTCAAGTTGGGTCACCTGATTTTTAAGCAGAAATAGGTGTGCGAATATTATTTTTCTATCTTTGGAAAAACAGTGTCAGTATACCCCATTCAGTATATCCTGCTGTTCTCCAAATAGGCTTATCTAGGACAAGAACCCATTTCCTGATTCTAGGTCCATCAAATGTATTTGTTGGTTTGTTTCTGACTTAGATGGTCCTAACAAACTTTACACAGTTTAAAAAGAAAAGCAGAGAACCTTTTTGATTTGCATACATGGATTTTTATCAGATGTTAGGATCACTGTGACTTTCTGGTTTTTGCAGTGGGTAGTGTTTATAAACAGACAAAACCAGCAGCATGCAAGGGTAAAAGACCAAGTGTCTGCATCGCTGATGTTCTGGTTTGAACCCTTGTAGATAAATGCAAAGACCTTGTCCTGGCTGACACGCACAGGTGGATGCGTATCCTCGCTCTCTTCAGCTCATGTTTTTCAGCCACTTCTAAATGGATCATAGATGCCTCCACAGCTGAACACATCTATGCTTCCTCACTGTAATAAGACACAACTTCTCCTGTTGAGCTCTGGCCCTATAATTTTATAATCAGACATCAGAGTCTGATTGTCATAATTGTGTGCTTAATTTGCATTCAGAATTATCGAGATTATGCATGTCAATTAAGTATTTGAGTCCACAATTAGATATTGCACATTTTGGTAATTGCATACGGAAATTAGATGTATAGTTGCATGTGAATGTTTGTGCATAGTTGGACAGCTATCCAATTCAAACTCTAGGAAATTCAGATATTAATCTACAATGGCTCCAATAGGCCAGTAAAGAGAAACTGAGATGAATCAGTATTATTTCTTGTGCAGTTTATTACTAAAAAGAGCTATTTAAGTTGTAAAGATTAAAAGATGCTTTTTGACTCATTAAAAAGAGGGGATTCCTGCTTTCTGGGATCTGCTTGATTTCTGAAAGTTATTGAAAGTGGAATTGAGGTGTTTCTTACCTCATTCCAAAATCACTTATTCGTTTTTTTTAAATTGATGTTTCAGTGGTTAATGGCCTGCCCTGACATTTTTTCACTACTAGTAGGGTTAAAATATAATTTTCTGTTTTGCAACGCTTTTGTAAGGGATGAAATTATTGAGTGGCAATTGGAGACACGTGTGGGCAAGCTATAGAGAAATTTTGAGAGGCATGCTAGTTTGAAACTTTGTTTTTCTCATACACAAATAATACAATGCTTCTAAAAATGTCTTTTCCAGTAACAAAGGGGGCACTATAGCATGACTGGCAGGGCGTTGCTGTACTGACTGGACATATTAAATAGGAAAAAATTAGTATTTGGAGTTTTTTTTTTTCTTATAAATTTTCCTTAAAACAACAGCATGACAGATAATAGTTGTGTCAATAGTATGCCCTTTGATGTCACAATAAGGTACCACTCTTTAAGAGGGTCAAAACCCCAGTTTCTATGAAAGTACACCAGTACATTTTGATTGTTTAATAACAGCCAGCCTCAGCTAGATGTGGAGTGAACAATCTGAGGAAGCTATTCTTTGTGCTGCCTGTAAAATGGAACATGATTTCTTTTGGCATGGATCCAATTAATGCCACACATCCAGGGCATCTGGTATGATAAAAAGGGAAACAAAGAAATGTTAATTTTCTTGTCATTGTGTGATTTTTCCAGTGGATGTAAAGTACTGGAATTCTCAAAAAAACAGACAAGACAAAGAATGGTATTGGTTTAAAAACCGAATCAAAAAAAACCCCATAAACCCCCTCCAGGCAAACAAAGACCAAAACACACATGCATTTTAGTTACTTAATCCTTTTGCAGAATCACCTTGTAGTATCTCTTCACTCTTAAGCCTGGAGGCAGAAAACACTGATTTCTTAAAATTCATAGTGCATGAGATAAACTTTAAACTTTTTTACTATTTTGTATCAAACAAATGTCACTATTATATTTCTTCATATATCAACAGTGTATTTTTCAGAATCTGTATATATATATAGGTATGGCAAGAAAAAATATTTGTTCTGACAGATCACATGAACTGAATTATACACTAGAGATTATACTGTTTGCCAGTAATTTCTGGTAAGCTGTTTATGCTGGATGTTCATACTTGATAATGTGTATGCGTTGTAATAAATGTTCCACAGTATTTGTCTCTGAAACATTCAGATTTTATAAATTATTGTAGGTTTTTTTAATACCAAAATAATTCTAGTTTAATTATGAAGCAGTAATGTATTCGAAGAGAAATATGATTTACAATAAATATTTTTAACATACCTGATTTATAAAAAGGTAAGATTAGATAGAAACTTATTTCCAATACAAAAAATTGGTTTTATCAATTTTCAGAGAACTCCTCTGTTTTGAGATGAATTCCTGTGTTACTGGGGGAAGCATCTGTGGTAACTGTAAACTAACCTGAGTTCCATGTATCTGGGAGAGACAGGCTGTGAGCATAGGGCTGCTTCAGGAGCTTGAAAACGTCTGGTCAACACAAAACTTTGATGTTATGAAATTGGTTTTGACATTGATGAAACAATAGTAAACTGCTTGTTTTCCATATATTTTTTAACTGTTAACAACACATTTTGTTTAAAAATATCAGCTATATGTAAAACTGGTTTTGCTAAGGTGTTTCCTGGAGATTTTTATAAACATAAATTTTAGTTTTTGAAGAATTCCAGTGAACAATTTTAAATTCATATGAACTTTACATATTTCATGAAAAAAGGTTGTATTTTCTGAGTTTCTGAAAAGCTTTAATGACTGTAACAGTCCTGTGCCGTAGTTAATCCTTTTGTATATGGACTAATGACCAGATTATTAAAGTCACCCCGAGTACTGAAGTGAGTACTCTCTGAATCTGACCATTGGTCAGTTATTGTGTTTTGAAATAGCAGTGGAAAACACACAATGTTGTGCTGCTGACAGATGAAGTAGCCCTTGTCTGGGAAACTGCTGTCTTTGCTGCTCTCAATTTCCAGCCCACATTAGTTGCAAGTCAAGAATATGCCAATATGGCTTTTGATAAATTTGGACCAAAATTTCAGAGATATTTTGAAATGACAAGTTGGATACAGAATAACAAGAGGTTGATGCACTTACTGAATATCTGGATATTTTGTATTCATTCTTATTTTCATTATTACTTGTAAAAAAATATGAAAGGCACAATTCAAGGGACAGTAGTGTTTTAATTCTTCTACAAAGCTAATTAGTTTGATTTGGTTTTCTTGCCTATAATAATGCTTTAAGACCAATGGACTGACAAATAAAATATTTCCTCTTACTAACCTGTAGAGATGAATTTTTTTATCAAGTTGTGGAGACTGCAATAATGCTTCACAAAAGCATTGCCTCCCCTGCTATTTCCCACAAGTCTTCATTTTCTTCTTACAAATTATTATATTTCAAAATTTATTTAAAGCAGTAATTACTAGTACTATGAAGATACTGACTTGTATTTACTTAAGTGAGCCATGTTTAAGTCAGGCAAAAAAAAAAAAAAAAACCCACTTTGTAGTGTAGCCATAGGGGTGTTTATGCTATCAATGCTTATTTAGATGAAGACGACTGTGCCTTTTGGTTGTTCAAAGGATTGAGCTGTGATGAACCACATTTACTAGGTCATTGTGAAGTAATTGTTTTGAAAAAGCAGCTCTTTTTTTGTAGCTTCAGAAATGCCTAGAGGCTAAGATGTAAATATTCCTGTTTCAACTTACTGAAATTTAATAATGAAATAGGAAGTTCTCTGCCTTCCAATATACTGCTGTAATATCTTTTTATTTTGTGAAATTAAAAAAAAAAGTTTCCATCATGGAAAGTCAGAGGAGAGAAGTACTTGTTTGTTGCATACAGTGTCCTTTTATGGTTCATGATATTGTTTTTAATGATATATTGTTCCTTATAAACCTAAGAGAATTTGTTTCTCCCCTGAACATTTTAGTTTTGGAAAGTATTGCTAACATTGTTTTGAAAACGTGATACTTAGTACTTCATAGCTTATGTTTTCCCTAAAAAAATTACAAATTATATATATATATTATACAGTAAACCTATTTTTTTGTGTTGAGTGGAAAATTTGTGAAATTTGTCAAACTGCTGACATATCTGAAGAAATAACATATGTTTAGAAAGAGAAAAATATAGGATGAATTCTGACCTGTCAACCTCTAAGATAAAATTTTACCCATGCTCATGGTCAGCAAGTGTGGCAGTGTATAATTGATGAGCCATTGAAAACTGCAAAAATTGGGTTTAAATGTGACTATGCAACATAATACTGAAGACAGCCACATATAGCTAGCAAGTGGTTAGCTCTGTTTGTCGTCTTGTGTAGAGTAGTTCTTTATCAATCTAAATGTTATATTGACATTGATAAACTGCATTTCAACTGCAATGGCCTGATGTTTAGGCTCTACTATCTTTTAGGGAGGGATCATAACAAAAAATAGGATCTCAAAGCTAAATTTCAGAAAGAATTATTTTTATTACGTAGCAGATACCAAAAACCTAGAAGCTGAATAGTCAGAAATAATATAAAAATTACTATATGAAGTTAAAAGAAGATATGGATATCCCAAAATAGAAACCCAAACAATAAAAACAAAGGAAAACATTTTGATTGAATAACTAGCCACAAACATATCTTGTCATACCTTCACATTAATATTGTTCTAACACATGCTTAGTTTACTGTGTCAAAAGGATAAACCAGGAATTACCTTGGTTTGTGAATTAGTGTATCTAGTAATTTTTGCTTAAGAAGTAGGTCTAAAGAAGAATCCAGAAATCGTTAATCATTTATGTCAACATGTATGTTGTAACAATATACTGACAAACAAAACCTTCTTGTTCATGTTTCAGCATTTCAGGGAACACCTTGACAAACTTTTTGCAAAAGGAATTGGAATGCTGGACATTGCTTTAAATGAAGCTTTCAACATGCTCAATGAAGTAAGTTAATGCTTTTCAGATTTATGCTGCTGACACCTTTCTTGCTATTTAGCAATTACTGTCAATTTTAAGATAGAAAATTAGAACTCACTCAAAAATGTGATGATACTAAAATATTATCTCTAGAACAAGAATTCTATACAATCTGTATGTGATAAAAGCTATAAACAAATTTATATTTTTCATGTATACATTTTATATGCATGTATTTTGTGTCCATATATACAGTGTACACCTGTGCATACACGTGTACATTAAATAAGGTTTATTTCAGTAGCTGTTCTAGTTGTTAAAAAATACCAGGGTAACCGACAAATTTCACAGTTTAGTTTTTTTTTTTTTTTCTTCTTCAGAAGGGCTAACGTTTTAGGAATAACAGGACTTGTATTTTCGTAAACACTTTGAGAATACACAGTGTTATTAGAGTCACGAAATAGTTGTTCATTGGTGTGACTTCTGACATGACAATTAGTATCTCATAGCTTATATAAAAGAAGTTATTTGAACACTTTTCTACTTATTCTAAGGTAGAGGGAGAAATGTAAAGCTTTGTTTAGCCAGCTCAGAGTTATTAATATTCTTTTAACTATTTATCTGCCAAAAACATGAAGCCAACTTTCTGATAACGTTCCTGTGAATAATGCCTATAAGCATTATAAGTTCTAGAAGATGATCAGGATCATGGAGATAATCTAGTGCAGGGCATCTAATTTCCTCCCAAACTCCACACAATATCAGTGTAGAGTTCTTATTTGTCCAAGAAATTGTCCTTCAAAGGATATTTTAATTAAAATCAGACCCATTGTCTTTGCCTGAAATACTTTTCCTCACAAGGTGCACATCAGTCTCAGTGGTTGTCATGAAATGATTTTATGTAGTGTATTTCAGAGAAATTTTTTAATCATTTCTGGCAAAGGTAAAATATATTGTCATGCTACATATTCCAGCAAAGACCAAATTTAGCAATATTTTTGATTCAGCTAACTGTATACTTTCTTGGGAATGTATATTGGAAAAAGCAAGGAAAGAAAGGAGAAATGTGAACAGTAGTAGTAATGAAAGAGAATTAGTACAAGGGAGCAAACCAATGAAAATAAAATTCACCATCAAATATTTCTCATGATATTATGAATGAAAACCCTAGGTAGTGTGGTAGGACTAAGGCCATTGCTTACAACTTGTGTTAATACCAGTTTAGATATAGGATTTCTGTAACGGAGAACATTCACCATTTTTTTTCTTTTTTAATAACTCATTACAAGCAAGTATTCTGTTTAATAATCTAAACAAATTAAGAAGTGAGTTGATCCTGATTTAGAACCCCTATGTGTAGCAGAAGATTATTTTTTTTTAATTTTTTTTTTTTTTTTAGTGAAGAGAGAGGTATCATCTAGAAAGGCAGAGCAACATCAAATTCCTGACGGGTGAATTAAAATCATGTGGATTTTAATCATTAAGTAACCTTTAAAATAGATTGTGCAAGATCTTCTGTTGCTTTGAATTTTTCAAACAAGATTACTTAAAGGCTTTTAAAAACAACAAAAGGGGGAGATTGCAGTGCAATTCAAACACAAGAGAGTGATTTGATGCTCAAATTTTGGGGTTGAAATGTATGGACTATGTTTTTTAGATGATCAGTTGCTTCTACTAAATGCCTGATGATGTTATGATGAGAATGTAGTTCCTTGTGTATTTAGGCATTCTAGTTTGTCTACAGATAACAATTAATCTCTTCTGATATGGTTATCATGGTGGCAGTCCAGCTGATGGTAGTTAATATTGTATAATGTTAATCTTAGTGGTGGGTACTTCCAAGTAAATCCACTACGTGTTTCTTTCTAAGAACAGCTTGTCCTTGAAAGAATCACACTTCATATCCAGAA